GGGGGGGGGTAAGGAAATATAAAGAAACAGAAACCTTTCTTATTCCATCCTCTTGGTCTTCTTTGCTTTTCTTTGGTTTAACGTTGTTACTTGTATCTAAATATTCAATAAAAGATCAAACAATGTTCAAAATAATTTTCTACTTTACTCTCTCGTCCATAATAAGTGATATTTTGGCCTATGGCTAGGACTGTTCAAATCCAAATCGAAACTGTTAACCGAACTGATGGATTATTGGCTTATTGGTATCAGATTATCGGGGTAATGGATGGTAAAGGGATTGAAATTTTATAATTAACGACTTAACAGTTTTGGGGCGGTTTACTCAATTTTCTTATCGGGTAAACCGTTAATCCGTTAAGAATTTTTATATTTACACTTTTACCTCTATGTATATAAAGTACTATTGAAACACTGTGGTAGTTGACTCTACTCTCTAGCGATATAGTCTATTGTGGTAGTGCCATGACCCGAGTTCGCCCTCCGTGAACTATCGTGACGGCACCTAGTCTCTACGACTAGGTAAGTCTAACAATTTGCGGAAAAAGGAAAAGAAAGATAAAACTAGCCAAAAACTGCGGATAAAATATAAATAAAACGTTTAAGATGCCGCTCGGCATATACAAATATAAACTCTCAATCTGAAACAACTCCCAAAACTCGGAATCTCATGAATCACAACCTGTTCAATAATTACAAGTGTTCCAACTCCAGAATGTCTAAACAAAAGTAAATACACGAGAGCTAAAACTAGAGGGGAGAATAGAGAGGGACTCCTCGGTCTGCGGACGTGGCAGATATACCTCGAAGTCTCTGAAGATCGCCTAGCCTCACTGATGGTATGGCTGAGCCGAAGAACCTGGATCTGCACACGAAAAACATGTACAGAAAAGGGCATGAGTACACCACAATGGTACTCAGTAAGTGCCAAGCTTAACCTCGGTCGAGTAGTGACGAGGAAGGTTAGGGCCCTACTGATTATAGATGAAAAATAAGGCAAAACAGTATAGAATACGTAATTAAAGTGGTAACAGTCTATAACGAATAAAATCACAGAAAGAATCTAACTCAGTACACAGAAATAACAATAGGGGATCTCCCGGGATATCGTCCCGTATTCCCAAACGTAAATGTCCAGAGGATCTCCTGGGATATCGTCCCGTAGTCCAAATCATAAATGTGAAAGAAAAACTCTCGGAATACCAATCCGTAGTCCCAAATTAAATATTCAGTACAGGGAATCTACCGGGTGATGTCCCGTAGTCCCGATCATAAATGTGCAGGGGGATCTGCCGGAATACCGATCCGTAGTCCCAAAGTAAAAAAGTAGGGAGATCTTCCGAGATATCGTCCCGTAGTCCCAAAGTAAACACACAACTATCTCAGAAGAATAGACAGTTCTATGCAAGAATTAAACAGGAAATTTCTACTCTAACATGCTGCACAGAGTACAAGTAGGTAATTAAGGCAAAGACAATTAAGTCATGTAAGCATGCTTTTCCTAATCTAAACAAGAGGTTTCAAGTACGAGTATTTGCTAAATTACAAGAAAACATAAGTATTAGCTTAATGAAAACGGGATTTCAATAATTAGCACGTGTACGCACTCGTCACCTCACGCACACGACACTTATATAACAAAATACCAAATCCTAAGAGGAGTTCCCCCACACAAGGTTAGGCAAGCCACTTACCTCGAACCAGCTCAATCAACTCAAAATCATATTCTTTCCACGAGTACCCGACTCCAAATGGCCCAAATCTATTCAAATTAATTGCATAATATAAATATAACTTCAAGTAACTAATTCCACTAATTAATTCGAAGCTAACACGCGAAATTAAGAAAATCGCCCAAAAAGTCCCCCAGGCCCACGTCTCGGAATTGGATAAAATTTACAAATACAGAACGCCCGATCAATCACGAACACACTCGAACAAAAATCATGAAAATCCGACGTCAAAATCTCACTCAAATCCCGGATTTTCAATTGGGGAATTTTTCTCCCATTTCACAACTTTTACCCCTAAATTCCTTAATTAGAAGAGAAAAACAACAATGGATTAATGTTTTAAGATCAAAATCAAGATAGAAATCGTTACCCAAAGCTTCTTCTTCAAAACCACTCGAGAAATCGCCCTCAACCAAGCTCCAAATCGTTTTTCCAAGTTTTGAGTTCAAACCCTCGTTTCTTCATTTTTTCTGACTAGCGATACCGCTTCTGCGGCAATTGAACCGCACCTGCGACTTTTCGTTAAAGCCCAAATTTCCGCACTTGCAACCTCCTACATGCAGATGCGGTGCCGCTTCTGCGGTACCTGGGCCACATCTGCGACCAATTGCAACATTTTCTAAGACCGCACCTGCGGTCCCTTAACCGCTTCTGCGGTGCCGCACCTGCGGTCCCATACACGCAGGTGCGATTATGACAGGTTCAGCCAGCTTCAGATTTTCCTAAGTCCAATTCAACTTCCGTTAAGCACCCGAAACTCTCACTCGAGGCCTTCGGAACCTCAACCAAATATGCCAACCAATCGTAAAACATCATACGAACTTATTCCAACCCTCGAATCATATCAAACAATGTCGGAACACCAAATCACCATCGGATTCAAGCCTAAGGATTCCAAAACTTCCAAACCTCGTCTGAATGACCTGAAATTTTGCACACACATCACATTCAACACTATGAAGCTGTTGTAGCTCTCGGAATCGGATTTCGACCCCGATATCAAAATTTCACTATCGAACCGGAAACTTCCAAATTTCAACTTTCGGCATTTCAAGCCTAATTATCTATGGACCTCAAAAACACAATCCGAATACGCCCCTAAGCCCGAAATCACCTAACAAAGCTAACAGAACCAACAAAATTTCATTCTGAGGCCGTCTTCACACTGCTCCAACTACGGTCTAAAATCTAAAGTTTAAGCACTCATTTAGGGACTAAGTGTCCCAAAACACTCCGAAACTCCAAATGAATCCTTCTGGCAATTCACAATAGCAAAAATAAATGCGAGAAAAGCAGTTAATAAGGGATCGGGGCGTTAATTCTTAAAAAGACCGGTCGGATCGTTACAGGTAGTTTTGCCGGCATTTGCAAGGCCTAAAAACAAGATCTTAGCCTCTTTCTACCACAGACCAAGCGATGCGAGAACTTCATAGAACCAATCGACAAAGAACATTCTTTTCAAATTGATTTTGATTGACTACAAGTCCCAAGATACAGATTTAAGAAAAGAGTTAAAGGTGCATGGTGGATCAAATGATATACGAACAAAAAGCGTATTGCAATCTCTCGATGAATTCAAGGGAGAATCTTTCCTCGAAACGATAGACTTTATCGCTAGAGAGTAGAGTCAAGGTAGACTTTCTATTTTTATTCTTTACCCATTTGGTATTGATTGTTCAAAAATTTTCTATTTAGTTCGGCGGATAAACCGCCCGATAATCATTGATCCGATACCAATCCGCCCATTGTCTTATTGGATGGCTAGCGAATTACTATAGTTATAATCCGATAACCGATAAGTCGAACCGTTAAGTATAGTTATCCTCCCGATCCGCTCGATAAGCACCCCTACCTATGGCACACCCTTTAAGAAAATACTTACTCTTAGAAAAAATAAGTATTCTGACTAAATTACACTAAAAATTTACATATTGTTAACTTAATACATTGGAATATGTAAATAAAGGTAGATTTGAAAATATAAGATTAATTTCTTCTTGATTATGCCTTACAAATAAAAAGGCCAAAAGATCACTTATTATGGATCTGGAGTAGTTTTTCATGTGCAAGAATACGTCTTATTTTTAAAAAAAGGGACTTGCTACTCCTAATTAGGAGTGGCAAACAGGCGGGTCGGGTTGAATATGGTTCGGATCGAAAACGGGTAATGAAAAAATAGATAAATTATCTGATCCGACCCATATTTTATACGGATAAAAAATAGGTTAACCGACTAATAATATGGTTACCCATATTATTCGTGACTTCTTGAATATGATCACTTTTGGAGAATTCTTCGTCACCCAAACTTGAGGAACCCCCAATTTGAGGCTTTATAAATGTAAAAGTTAAACACATTAGTTATTCACTGGTTATCTATTTTCTAAATGGATGATATGGTTCTTATCCATATTTAACCCATTTTTAAAAAGTTCATTTCCAACCCATTTTCAGTGGATAATATAGGTTGTTAACTGTTTTCTTTTAACCATTTTGCCGCCCCAACTCCTAATGCTCGTTTAATTGGAATTATTACTCCCTGAAATGCCATGTGGCATATAGAACAACGAGGAACAATTTATCACGGCATTTTCTTCTTTCTTTTTGTCGTATGTTTTAACTAAGGGTGTACATGGACCGGGTTAGTTCGATTTTTATCAAAATCAAACCAAACCAAACCAACTATATCAGTTTGGATTGGTTCAGTTTTGGCGGGTTTTTCGATTTTTTGTTACTTAAATATTGTTTCAATCTTATTTTGTTAAATTTTTGATAAGTAAATATATGTTTAGTAAAAATTTAAAAATTGACAAACATATTATCTATTAAATATTCTTATGGGAGAATCTACTTAGTAACACATGATAATTATTTTTTTTTGTTGTCTGACAATAA